CACTATGTGGCCCTCCAAACACTCGTGGGGCTGGAATGCTGTCGATGTGGGACCCAAACGTGACCTTGTTGGTATGAGTTATTTAATTAATTTGGCAATATTCATAATACATTATCTATTGCGCTTATTCAAATAATACTTTTCAGTATTTCTATAATATTATTTAAATTTTAAAATAGTATTAAAGTAATGTTAAAAGTATAATATTATTTTAAATAGTGAGATAGATATTATAATGTGCTAGTTAATTAAATGAATATAACTTGATGTTTATTAATATTATCCAGGTGACTTGGCAGCTGCAGTCCGTAAGGCGGACCTAAAGTTTGGAACCTACTATTCATTACTAGAATTTTTTAATCCACTATTTCTGAGTGACCAAGCTGCTGGTTATAAAACACAAGATTTTATTAAAGTAATAGATTATATTAGCGATAAATTTACAATAGTTAAATAAATTTTTAAAAATTGTATTAGAACAAAATGGACCCTGAAATAAAGGAGTTAGTCACTAATTATAAGCCCGATATTGTATGGGCTGATGGTTCCTGGGTTGCCGATGATACCTATTTTGACAGCACCAACTTTTTGGCCTGGCTGTATAATGACAGGTAATAGTATAATTTTAAAAATAAAACATTTTTACTAGTAAACAGTAAAACATTTTTGAAATAAATTTTAAAATTATTTTCTACAGCCCTGTTAAGGACACCGTTGTAGTTAACGATCGGTGGGGTATGTAATTATAAATGGATAGTTATTTTAATTATCTTAACTTAAAAATTATTATGCTACTAGGCAAGGACACTCCCGGAAAACATGGCGGATTTTACAACATGGCCGACCGGACTAACCCGAAAAAACTAATGGAACATAAGTTTGAAAACGCTATGTCTATGGACAGGGGCTCGTGGGGGTTTAGGAGGAACGCCGAACTTTGGAACTATTTGACCACATGGGACCTCATTGTAGAACTAGTACAGACTGTCAGGTAAGGGTCGTTCACTAAATACGTAATATTTTATTTAATAAGTCACTTTCAAATTAGTGATTTAAAAGTATTTATAATCTATATTTGTACGTACTAATTGTGTGACTCATTTTTAAAATCTAGTTGCGGGGGGAATATATTGATAAATATCGGTCCCACAGCCGATGGCGTTATTAACCTGTTATTCATTGAACGGTTGACACAATTCGGTGATTGGCTTAAAGTGAACGGTGAGGCCATCTATGGGTCGAAACCGTGGACCCATCAAAACGATACAATCACTCCGGATGTCTGGTATATATAACATATTTAAGGGACAGTCATTTAATACGTAGATGACATAAAGTTGAATTAAGTTTAATTTATTATTATTATAACAATTTACACAAATACACATAGTTCATAATGTACTCTTAGTTTACTATGTCACGTACTATTGAATGACCCCTCATTGAAATTTATTTATTAATTTTGTGTTTATTGTTTAGGTATACCTCAAAGGGTAAAGATGTTTATTCAACGACATTTCATTGGCCACAAAATAGCCAGCTCAAATTAGGTGCAGTGGACTCGCAAATGGTCAGCAAGATTGAGATGCTAGGCGCACCTGGTGAATTAAAATTTACCATGCTTGATAAAGGTATACAGGTGCAGTTTCCAAATTTACCACCTGATACTAGGCTCCAGTATGCCTGGACACTCAAAATTACTATTAAATGAATTCTGAATAAAATTAACCCTGTTAATATCTTATAACTGGACTTAAAAATATGAATTTAAATGTTAACATATTAAAAATAAATTGAATTAAATAATTTTTATAAATATTCGGAGTTTATCTTATTAAAATCATACCTTGAATATCGTTGGATAGTGTTAAAAATTATTTTGAAAAACTAATTCAACTTGAATAACTGTTAAATTGGGCTACTGGTGCCATACAGTTATATACAATATATGGTTTGTGCATTGAATTGAGTTTGAAGTTACAAACTGGAAGTTAATTGAAAAATAAAACTAATTTTGCAAAATAAGCAAGTTTATTTGATTTATTTAACTGAACATGCTTACAATATTCAGAATATTCTATACATGCATTGAATTGAGTTTGAAGTTACAAACTGGAAGTTAATTGAAAAATAAAACTAATTTTGCAAAATAAGCAAGTTTATTTGATTTATTTAACTGAACATGCTTACAATATTCAGAATATTCTATACTGTATTCCCTTCTAAGTTTTTCAATTCAAGTTTTTGTATTCTTAAAATATTTTTTGACGCCTAGATAAAATTAATTTAATTTTTTTGAAAATCTCCACATATTTTATAAAACAATTGGTAATAAAACAATAAGTGGTGATGTGAGCAGAAATTATAATATAATCTGGTTTAAAACATGGTGTAACCAGTAATATGATAAATTTTAAAAATCTATTAAATATTTTCTATTTATCCTCCCTGGTCATAAAATTAATTGGCATGTCTAATGTAGTTGCCGGTTAGTTTAATATTTTTGACCCATATTAACTTTGACAATTTCATTTAACACAAGTTCCTATTAACATAAATTATAAACTATTTTATATAATAATGATTTTTAAAATTATATTAATAGGTGATTAATATCTGTACTATTATATATATATAACATAAACTTATTTATTTATTCATGTAAGAATACATGCAC